CCAGTCAAAGGTGTCTGTTGTTGGGTAGTACGCGCCGCGAGGCCGACTCTCCACAAGAAGTCCTGGTCTCTTTGCGTAAGCTCCGTGACGAGATCTGGATCATGCGCGCACATAAAGGCAGCGACAGCGATGGCCGCGAGAAGTGCAACGTGGAGCAAGCTCAGCCATATGAGCGGTGTCAGCGTCGCCAGCTTGGACGCGCGAAAGACGTACAGCAGAGAGAGGATACCAACGACGAGGCTGGTGCCAGCGCACGAAAGCGACACGGCGCCCGGAAGGTATGGTAGCATGTACGAAGACCCGAGCGCGGTCAAGACGACGAGATCGTAGAGCAGCACGAGGCTGGTGGCGCCAAGAAAGACGCGGAGCTGCCACGAGACGAGAAGCATGCTCGGCAAAGGCAATTGAAAACTGTCCATTTAGAGTCTCCATCCACGCGCGACATGTTGACGACATCCCACGTAATCCGCACTGTCCATGCGAGAGGTGGATTCACGATGGCCATAAAACCTGGTTGTCATACGCTGGGTTCCACGCCCACACGCTGATATCGCGATGGACATCGGCTCCAAACGTGGACACGAGAAAAGAGTCCCGTGTTTCCTCGTGCGCCGCTGTGAAGGTAGCGCCCTTTGACTGAACACATGTCCTGTTTCATGCTCGCGAAGCAGTCGGCAGATTTATGCTCTGCTCGGGACGTTGTTTTTGGTTGTTGACGTTTGATCCTGAATGGATTCAAAAATCAAGGGCAATCGTATAACCAGCAGATATCCTGGAAGTTGATAACGTTGGCTACCCCGGTACGAGTCATTCACCACCGAATGACGCCGTCAATGGTCGATTCGTTTTGTGTCGCACGCATCACTTGTCGAGGTAATGGTACAACACGTATTAAAGCAAGGCTCAGTGAGGGAGGCATGGTAGCTGGTCGTCTGCGACCTACAGGCCAACAATAGCGATTTAAACGCCTCGCAATCCTATTTTAATCGGAGGTCGCATGACGCTCTTGGGCAAGGACGCGGACCCGGCCGAGGTGACTGTCCATGCGACGGGCCTCTCTTCGTCCCCGCCAAAAGTGTTGGCCGAACGACAGCAGCACGTGAGCGTCGGTCAAATGCTCCAGCGCCAACACCGCGGCTCGGTCAGCGACTTGGAGCCCGTTGCGGCAGTAACATCCAGCGGCACCGTCGCCGACATCAAGAAGGCAGAGCCGGCACCCACACCCGTCATCACGCCCTCCGTCGTCCCCAAGCTCACGGACCACGTCCGCAACTTTCGTCAAGTGCTTCAGGAGCTGGTCGCGCAAGGGTACATGATCCGATACACCGGTCTTGTGTTGAAAGATGCACAGGGCCATTGTCACCAACAACAAGGCGCTGTACACGCAGCAAGGCAACTTGGCGTTCTACACGCGGGTAGGATGGCGGCGTGTTTTCTCACAGAATCCTCACATTTGTCTAGAAAAACGTCACTCGGCGTCTGCAGCTGCGCCGACACCCGGAGCTCATTCGGCTCAGTAAGCTGTTTTGGGCGACCGTGGTGCCGTCGATGGTCGAGACCATGGACTTTCACCGCTACGAGCAAATTTTTCTCCGGATCCACAAGGTGCTTGCCAAGATCTACCGCGTCGAAGCCGGTGCCATCAACCTCGAGGTGATTTTTGTGTACTTTTTTTCCATGCCCAATTGTTTCCATTCTAGGACGACTGGCGACGCGACACGAACGGCAATTGCCGAGGCTTGAGCTACGAGCTCTTCCACGCGGCACTGTTTGAAACCATTGGTAGCGCGCATATTCCGAGACCCGTGGCAATGTATGTGGCTACTGGTAGATATTTGGTGCAACTCGGTCAAGGTCCAAGATGTAACTTGTCCTTGTCGCTTGATGTTGTCGTCGTGATGATGCATTTGTGATAGTACATCAATCTTTTGGCGTCGCTTCTCGATGGTATCACGCGCCTGAACAAGGAAGACAGCGCCTTTCTCAAATCCCTTCGAGGTCCGAGTACACACATCGTACTTGAGAACGCACGAAGTGTTTTGTTTAGACATTCGTGCACTCGATACAAAAGCTCGGCCGCTCTCAGCACCGTCGGCGCGAGCTAAATCCACGTCACCGATCAAACCGATTGCTGAAGAGGCACCGTTTCTGAAGAAAATCAAGCCCGAAAAGACCCCACCCCCCAGTGCCCCCCGACGGCCGTCCAAGTCGCCCACCAAGCCACCGACGTTGCATCACGTACCCACAACCGCGAAAATAACAGCACAGTTATCACCGACCCGCCTCGGTAGCGATTTCTATCTGCATTGGACAAGAAGACAATACGTTACATCTTGTTGTAGGGCTCGTCAATGCAGCAACGCAAACGAGTTTGACGTCTCTTCACGCGCAAGTCCCGTCACCTCCAGTCTCCGAGTCGTCCGATGAAACATCGACGCGTCTACCAACGACAACAAAGACAGCAGCGTCCAGCTCGTCCAAGACACCAAGTCCAACGAGAAGTAGCCCTTCCAAACCAACGAGTCGACCAAAGACCAGCCCATCGCGACCAGGAAGTCCACCTAAAAGCAGTTGTCCGACGACAGCATCATCGAGTCCATCCAAAGCGACGCTTGACGCTGGCGGTGACCGACAGCAAATGGTGCCAAGCCCCCCCAAGCCGGACCGACCGCGTCCCAAATCGTCCCCACTCAAGCGCAGTACGCCATGGACGCCTCCACAGGGCTACAACAGCAGCATCGTATACGTCGACATCAATGGCCACGCGATACCACCCATCAACTTTGAGTTTGACGTGGACCATCCGCCGCTGCCGCGCCCGCACTCGCCACTGCGAACACGGCCAGCGGTTCGCCTCGGACTCTCGTCGCCGCGACTGCCCGAAACCATCGAGATGGACGTCGAAGGTCACTGCGTCGAGACGAAGAGTGCGGATGCACCACGCCGCGTCGCCACGTGGCAGTACGAAGAAAAATCAAACGTCGAGCGGCTGGCCGAGTGCACGTCGTCGCCGCTCAAAGGAGCGATTTTGTTTTCACCCTCCACGTACCCGATCGAGCACCGCTGGATCAAGCGCAGCCAAGCCCGCGCCTTGCACGAGCTCAAAAAGACGCACGATGACGCGCCGCTCTACGACTATTTTCACACGTCGCCACCCCACGAAGACGAGCGTTTGGTGCGAGAGCTCGACCATTAGTTAGTTGTTCTTGCCATCGACGAAGGGTGCGAATATGATTTGGATTTCTCCACAAACAAGCGAAGACGTCGCTGTGAGTCATTTGCACATCAAAAAGATGGAAACCGTTTCAACGGGTCAGAACGTGCGATGAGTCATGTTGCCCGTGCTTGCAAGAAAGCGATCGGTTAAATCAGAAAGTAGGGATCTCACCGGGACTTGAACCCGGATCTACCTGGTGCATACACGTCGTTTGTAGCACCCTACCTTGACGATCAAATGCACTGCCCCCCATGTACCATTGTGGCAGCGAAGCTAGTTTGTCAAGGATTGCTTTTTCCGGTAGCTTGGCTAGGGATAGATAAAAAGGCGGCGCATGGACCCCCAGAATGTCCCTAAAAACTTGTCACAAACAGTCTATATTTGTGTGCGTTGGCAACGCCTGCCTTTTATAACGAAGTGATCAGAATCTCTTCCAACGACGTCACGGCCATGCTGAGCCGCCGGCCAACACTCAAGCGGCTCACATCGCTCGAAGACGTCTTTGCTACCCTCGATGAGACGTCGTCGCTTGTCGACACGGTCGTTGGTACCAAGGCTGGCGTTCAGAGTCTTCGGTCGCCGTCCAACTATGACATTCGCCAAACCTTGGCCAGTGTCCATCGTCAGGCGTCGTCATCCTCGCTCACCACGAGTGGTCGCAAAGACGCGGTCCCGACCGTGCCACGTCTTCTGGGGCACACCAACACACTGCGGCGCGTCATCGAGCACCTCGTTCGCGACGGGTACGGTGCAATATCTGAAAGTGTACAAAGAGACAACGATGTGCGAGGTAGCAAACTAGGCGACGCGGCAGAACCGTACGACCGCCAAGGCAACGAGGCCTACTACACGAGCGTAACACTTTGTGCGAAATGAGGCAGCACATACTCATTGACACGAACAGGAGAACGTGGCGCGCCGCTTGGGCATTCGCTACGACCCGACGCTGCTGCGGCTCACACGTCAGTTTTGGGCCGCGGTCGTGCCGCCAACTAAAGACACCATGGACATCGAGAGCTACCAGCGCCTCTACCTTCGCATCCACAAGTATTTGATCGAGCGGTTTGACATTCGAGACTCGAAAGCCAAAATTCAAGTAAGTCGATTATAGACCCTCGTCTCATTCGGATGACTCTTAACTGCTAGGACGACTGGTTGCGGGACACGAACAACGACAGCAGTCTGCTCGACTACGAGCTCTTCCACCTCTCTCTCTTTGAACTCATCGGTACGCTTTGGTTCTCATGTCTTTGTCATTCCAGTTGCATAGATGTCTGGTGCGACTCGCTCGATGCCAATGATGTAAAAAACTACATGATGGAAAAGTTGTCTATCACTGGGGACTCACATGCTGTCTTAGTACGTCCGCCTCTTGTACGCGATACTGGACGGCGTCTCGCACGTCGAGCACGGTCGAATTCACCTCCGCAAACTCCGCCGTGCGCTCCCATGGCGGCATCAACGACGCTAACCCGGCGACGTTGCGTAGACGTCCGCTTCCGCGATGTGGCCCTCGCCGTCAAGCGCGTGTCGACGGCCTCTGTGCACTCGTATTTGGATGCAATGGACGCATTGCGCGCACCCGCCAACGGCGCGGCAGCCAAGATCGAGGGCCAAAGCCGTCTCTTAACCTCCAAGCACGCAGCGGCCCACCGCCGTAAAACAACGTTGGGTGCCATCCAAGTGGCGCAACGAACGGGACGGTCGTCGCTCAGCAGCAACAGCTTGCGTGCGCCTACACCGCCCGGTGGCACCAATACCACAAATGCGCCAGCGCATAGACCGTCCCGACCCGCGTCGTCGCCGCCAAACCGTGCGCGCGACACGAACGACCAGTTTGTACGTCGACCCTCAGTCGCGCGCCGCCAACAGCCCGGGCACGCAAGGGACGGTCGGCGCGTCAGCGACCATCGAGCGTCCGTCGACAGCACTGGGTGCGATCAGTACGAGTGCAGCAACGCCCCAGCTCGACATTGCTGGCCGCTGCGCACCAAAGAAACGCCACCAAGTCCCCGCGCCAGAGCACGCTGACGAGCCGCCAACCCGAGGCAATTCCGCCACTAGAAGGCGCACTTGTGCACCGCGCCGCCTCAAGACGCGACTCGGCCGAAGCGCATAGGGCGCGCCGCAGCCACGCGCGGGCCGAGCGCGAGCGGCGGCGGACCCACCACGAGGACATCAATCGCGCGCCCCACTACGTCTTGGACTCGTAGCGAAATCGACTCTACAAACACGTTGTCGCCATAGAGTCACTGCTAGAGCTCGCTGCTGCGCTGCGTGGTCGGCGCCATGGGTTGCGTCTCTTTTCCGGTTGGATCCGATCCTCTGCGGTATCAGGGTCCCCCCTCCGGATACCATCCATGGACAATCCGCAC